AACTCAACAAAGACTACGAAAACACTAGAAAACACCAATTAGTAATAAAAGTGGCTCGAAAGAGCCAAAAACACTACTAATTATGACCAAGGGACGGGGGTAAATTACTATATAAAATGGACATATCACATGGTAAACATTTCGACAATTTTTTTACGGGCGAATAAAAGTAAAAAAATTCCAAAATTGAAGGCTAATATCCATGTTTTTTTTAGAAATTTCGAAGGTTTCGGGTCCCGGTGTCGAAAAGAAATAAGATTTTAGAGATACATCACGGTGTCATATAATGCCGTTTGGAGCCATAAATGATCATTATATGTTGTCATAAATGTTCGTAGTAGGCTTGAGTGAATGAAATCGGTGCAAGTTGTAAACCTTTAAATTGGCCGTTTATAGGCAAATTGGATGATTCCACCCACCCAATTGGATTCCCGGAGGGTATTGGGGACCATGGTAAACATTTCGACAATTTTTATTTCCGGGCGAATAAAAGTCAAAAAATTCCAAAATTGAAGGCTAATATCCACGCTTTTTAACAAATTATTAAAGTTTCGGGGCCCGGTGTTGAAAAGTCTTCAGATTTTAGAGAATACATCTCGGAGTCATATAATGTCGTTTGAAACCATATATGATCATTATATATTGTCATAAATGTACGTGGTATGCTTGAATTAATGCAATCGGTGCAGGTTGTAATTAGGTAAATTGACCGTTTAAAGGCAAATTGGTTGGTTCCACCTACCCAATTGGACTTCCGGAGGGTATTTGGAACCATGATTAATATTTCGACAATTTTTATTTCCAGGCAAAAAAAAGTCAAAAAATTCAAAAATTGAAGGCTAATATTCACGTTTTTTGAGAAATTTTGGAGTCTTCGGGGCCCAGTGTCTAAAAGTCTTGAAATTCTAGGGAATACATCTTGTTGTCATATAATGTCGTTTGGACCCATATATGATAATTATTTTTTGTCGTATATGTTCGTGGTAGGCTTGAATTAATAAAATTGGTGCAAGTTGTAAACCGGTAAATTAGTCGTTTAAAGGAAAATTGGATGATTCCACCCACCCAATTGGATTCTCGGGGTTTGTTAGGGTTCATGGTAAACATTTCGGCAATTTTTATTTACGGGCGAATAAAAGTAAAAAAAATCCAAAATTGAAGGCTAATATCTATGTTTTTTTAGAAATTCCGAAGGTTTCGAGTCCTGGTGTCGAAAAGAAATAAGATTTTTGAGATACATCTCGGTGTCATATAATGCCGTTTGGAGCCATTAATGATCATTATATGTTGTCATAAATGTTCGTGGTAGGCTTGAGTGAATGAAATCGGTGCAAGTTGTAAACCTTTAAATTGGTCGTTTAAAGGCAAATTGGATGATTCCACCCACCCAATTGGACTCCCGGAGGGTATTAGGGACCATGGTAAACATTTCGACAATTTTTATTTCCGGGCGAATAAAAGTCAAAAAATTCCAAAATTGAAGGCTAATATCCACGCATTTTGAGAAATTTTGGAGGTTTTGGGGCCCGATGTCGAACCATATATGATCATTATATTTTGTCATAAATGTTTGTGTTAGACTTGAGTTAATGAAATTGGCACAAGTTGTAAACCGGGAAATTGGCTGTTTAAAGGCGAATTGGATGGTTTCACCAACCCAATTGGAATCCCGGAGGATATTAGAGAACAAGGTAAACATCTCGGAAATTTTTATTTCCGGGTGAAAAAAAGTCAAAAATTTCAAAATTGAAGACTTATATCCATGCTTTTTGAGAAATTTTGGAGGTGTCGGGTAGAGTTGTCTATTCGGGTAAACGAGTCAGGTTTGGGTCGGTAAGAGTGGGTCGGGTCCATTCGGATTAATTCCATAACCTATGCGGGTCGGGTTTGGGTTGGGTCATGCTTTAGTCGGGTCACGTCGAGTCATACTTCTTATCGGGTTTGGGTCGGGTTAATTACAGGTTGGGTTACATTGGGTCGGGTGAACAATAGGTGGGGTTTAATTCGATTTCTCACGAGTTAAATGAGTTAGGGTAAATCTCAGGTTCAAGTCGGGTTCAATTCAAGTCAATAGTTTGTGGGTTATGATCAGGTTGGGTCATTCTCGGGTTTGAGTCGGGTTCGGTTCAAGTTAATAATTTGCGGGTTATAATCAGGTCGGGTCATTCTCGGGTTCAAGTCAGGTTCGGTTGAAGTCAGTTTATGTTCAAGTCAATTAGGTTGGGTCATTTTCAAGTCGGGTCATTGTCGGATTCAAGTTAGTTTATGTTCAAGTCAATAATTTGCAAGTTACAATCAGGTCGGGCCGGGTCATTTCCAAGTGAGGTCATATTCGGGTTCAACTAACTATAAATATATAATTATCATTTTTATCAAGCTAATTATTTCCTTTGACTATAATATATATGACAATGTAATAGGGAACTATAGGCTATAATTTAGGAAGATAATTATCTCCTATGACCATACAAGTATACAACAAATATATACTATATTTTACTATTAAATTTGAGGATGATGCTCCTTTCTTTTGCTGGCCTAGACCGACTTGGTCTCCCTAGACAAAATGCTTTGATCAACAATAATAAGGTGGTCTAAATTGCATTTTAGGTGATTTGAAATCGGGTCAGGAACAATTTGGGTTGAATTTAGGTCGAGTCAATAACAAGTCGTGTTGATTTTGAGTCGGGTTAGTAACAGATCGGGTTGAATTTTTGGGTCGGGTTAGTAATAAGTCTGGTAAAATTTGGGTCAGGTCAATAACAAGTCGGGTTAAATTTGGGTCAGGTCAATAACAAGTCGGGTTGATTTCGGGTCGGGTTTGTAAAAGGTTGGGTTAAATTCGGGTCGGGTTAGGAACGGGTCGGGTTGAATTCAGGTCAGGTTAGTAACAAGTCGGGTTAAATTCGGATTTTGACGGGTTAAAACGGGTTTGGGTCAATTTCAATTCAAGTCGGGTTCGGTTCAGGTCAATAATTTACGAGTTACATTCGGTTCGGGTCATCTTCAAGTCATTTCATGTTCGGGTTCAGGTCTCACATACTCGGGTCTAAGGTTCGTTTCAGGTCGGGTCAGGGTAACCATTTTTTCGGGTTTAGATGGGTCGGTTAACAATCGGGTTTGAGTCGGTATTTTGGTCGGATCAACTTTTGACAGCTCTAGTTATAGTGATGTTAAGTTATTAGCTCAACTGGTTATACCCCTATATATACTACCAACACTAGACCCAAGTTTAAATCTTATAAACCTCAATTGCCTTTTTTTTTTTTTTTTTTTTTAACCCATTTTTGCATCTTTTATAGTTTTGCCTATTGTTTTTTATTTCAATCTTACTTTTATAATTTTCCCTATAATTTTAATTGCCTAAATTGCATAGCTTACGAAGTTACAATTTTTTTTTATTAACTAGTAAAAATTACCGTTAATATTTTTTTTTTTTGAGGACTAGTCAAATTTAATTAATACCACTACATTAAAAAAAAAATTACAATAAGAAAAGCAGTATATGCAATTATACATTACTATTTTACTTAATATGTAGTATAAGGGCCTGTTCTCTTGCGTTAAAATTCAGTTCAGTTCAGCTCAGTTCAGTTCAATTCCTAATTTCCTTCTTTTACAAAATATTCATTTCAGTTCAGTTCAGTTCAATTCAGTTCAGTTCAGCTCAGCTCAGTTCAGTTCAGTTCAGTTCAGCTGAGTTCAGTCAATGAGAACAGACCCTAAGTCTTGGCCCCCTAAATTTTTTTTCCTGGCTTTGCACCTGTGTTCCTGGTAAGAACCATTATTTTTTTTCCACCCATTTTCTGTTTAAGTATTCTTTTTCTCCTATGTAGTCTAATTTAGGTGATAAGTGGAGGATCGGCTATGAAGTTGCCTCCTTTTGCTCATTTCATCATTTAAAACAATTAGATTTCCAGCCTTTTGTATGGCGTTACCATAACGACAAGAAAAATTCCATTAAAAACGAATACTTTAGGGCTTTATGCACGCCTATGGGAAGGACTACTTTAAATATGCACAATTAATAACTAAATCTGATTTAGAAACGAAACTAACAAATAATGTGATGAGTCGAACCTTAATGAAAGATTTCGATAATAAGGACAAGATTTGAACCTATGATTTTTTTTTATTTTTTTTTTTTTAAACTAATAACCTAATGGAAAATGAAGACAGATATGAAATTGTCAAAATTGTATCTTTTAGTAGGAAAAAGGGAGAATGTTGTCAAGGGCAATGCTATACATACAATTGTTGTCATGTTTCTATTGGCTAAAATAGTAGGCACAAATTCCATTAAATTCAATTTATATTTGACTCCTACTTTACTCCCATTTTTTGTTGATGTATTAAATTTCTAATGGTGATGTATGTAGGGACAACATACAATGGTTGTATTTGTAAAACTCCATTATTGTTGGAAAAAGTGTAGTTTGCCAATTCACCACATTACCTTTGTCTCAATTTATTTTACAACCATGAACATTCACTGATATCTAGGTAAATTTTGTTTGTGAGTAGTTTTTATGTAGAGTGAAAAAATAAAGTTGCATGATGAGGAGAGAAAGAAAAAGAATTCACAAGTAAAAAGGAAAAGAAAATAAATTTTGTTGTTATAGTATTCATTTATGGAAAATACATACTTGACAATGTATTATTTCAATCACAAATTTCTTTGATACCAATAAGAAAAAATATTAAAATTTTATTTTATGCAAGCATAATGCAAGATGAATCTAGATATATCTCACACAATTATGTATATCCATAACTATAAATCATAAAAGACCGTCAAAGTAAAGTATGTGAATATTGTAAAAGTCTAAATGTTGCTAAGTAAAAAGAAACAGAACAATCTTTTTCTATTCTTCATTTTTTTTGTGATGCTAGGTCCCATATGAATAAGTTATTTAATTCTTTGTTTAAGGTTTGTTGTAAAAGAGGTTTGTTATAGGATAATGTCGTATAGGATAATAAACCTCTGGTCTAGGAAAGTATAATCAGGTAGGAAGAATGAAGCCAATCGTGTACAATCGTAGAAATTGTTATACAAGTCAATACAAAAGTGCTCCACTTGCTTGAGTTATTACAAAAAGAACTGTTTAGTCACTATTGAGCATGGTCACTGAAAACCCCATACCTCCCACACCATATAGTAGTGTCTTTTGTTACAAGGCAAAAATAGAAACTACAACAATAATTTTCCAAAAAAATGTTATAATTGAATGTTTCATCACTAATATATAGTCTGTAACACAACCTTTCCCGTTCCACTTGATTAGCTGAACCCGTTTCTGTTCAAGTCGAGGAAGTAAACAGAGGTGGAAAACCTGCTATTTGCTCGAGTTGAAGAAGCGAACAGATCAATTATGCTTGGCCACACTTGCTCAGACAGCCAACTCCTTCCTCCAGATAATCTTGCCTACTGATCCAAAACTCTGGTGCATCCTGCATGAATTGAGACTATTTTCATATGTACCGCAGAACACAAGATCACATCTCTTATTGGATGATACTATTTAGTAAAAACGGAGTAAATCATACCACAACATTTGACCTCAACATGTCCTCTCTTACTAAACAACCTAGCTATCGCAATACTCCATTTAAATCATCTAGGCATTTTATGATTATAATCATCACTTCATTACCTTACAGGGTTGACGAAAATTCCGGAAGAACTAAAAAGAAACGAGGAAATATCTTAATCTACCCACATGATAATATGATATAGACATTGATAGAACTAGTAGAGTCCAGATCAACAATTAAAACTACAGAGTACTAGTTAAACTCCTAGTATTTCATATGATTATAGATTGTATAGTACCCGATGGGTCAATGCAATCTCCGAGAAATGAATCTAGAGCAGCAAGCCCCAGATGTACTATCATCACCATAAATACCAATTTCAGAAATTAAGTAGCCATACCAGAAATAATTCTGTGAGGGGCCCTTGTGTTAAAATTCCTCATTTATTTCTTGGCAATGCCAACGAGGACTGTACTCAAATCCTCATCCAATCCTACATTTCACTCAATCTAAATTTCTAAATAAAGCACATATGAATATATAATCATCACCCCAATGGAAGGCAGATGGATTTGGTACTGATACAGGCATCAAACAAAGGAAAAATATCTAGGAGAAACACAAATTTTGTACTGTTTACAGTTTGTAGAACAATAAATAGTACTTCGTATTTGTTTAACCCTCTAAAATATCACCAACTCAACCTTGCCTGACAACAAAATAGCTTGTACCCAACCCAAATTAAGAGAAATCGTCTCACATTCACACTTGCTAATTCGGCAAAAAACTTGTTAAAAAATTACTAAAACCTCATTCATTTTTACCCTTTTTTTCGGTTTTCTATACTATGTTAATTAATCTTATCCACCCACCATATAGAAGAAAAGCTTCAAATAAATGTCAAATTACAGGCTTTTTTTCAACATCACATGATCAGCTTTGTGTGTAGGTGTTGTATACAACGACCAAACAGGTTCATATAATCAATTGTTGACACACAAATTTCATGTTTTTTTTCCCCAGTTATTCTGAGATCACTCATCATCCAACTAATTTACAACCAATCAACCATAACACTTAAACTTTCAAATTTCCAAACCCACAAGATTCACTATTGTGATGCTAAGTCTTTCTCTGTACAAATTGAATCTTCCGAGTAAGTGAAAATGTGAAATCATGATTTGTCAGTTAAAAAAGATTGACCAAGTCCCTAGTTCAATCATTTTTAATAAGAACAGAAATCAAATTTATTCTTTCGGGAAAAAAAAAAAAATCAAATTGATCAGCAAAAGAAACATGTAATGCACAGAATTAGTTTTAACCTTGAGAAGAATAAAAGATCTAAACACTCATGGAAGAAAAGGATTGTCTAAGTGAAAACTGAGTACTTGAGTAGAGAACCTGACTTCTCCCATGAATGCTCTGGACTTAAACAGCCCTTTGCATAAAACCACTAATACCCAAATTTTCGCCTAAGTGACCATAAAGGATTTAATTCCTCGCGAACAAAATAGTAGTACCAATTCAAAATCTTGACCACGTAAAAATTTCACTATTGTATCCTTTTTTAGATTTCACTGGTATGAATGTATGATGGTGTCCCATATGTATATATAATGGAACGAAAGCCTTTTTATCCCAAGATGGAAAAGTATACATCCACAACCTCCATAATTTCACAAAATAAAGTCCACATATCTAATTAAACACAACTAGTCAGTTATATAAAGGCTCGTGGTGGCCTTGAATTAATTGAGGGAGACATGTACGAAAATGGATAAATTAAAGGTTTTAAGGCAAAGTGGATGCTTTCACCCACTGAAATGGCCTCGGGAGGTGTCCTTGGGTTCATGGAAAAAACCCCAAACACTTTTCTTTCCGGGTTCAGATCAGACAAGTAAAGGCTGATACACAAAATCAGACCAATTTTGGAGGTTTCGGAACTTGGTGTCAAACAATCTCGAGTTGTGAGGGATGCATCTCGAGATTGTGAGGGATGCATCTCGAGGTCGTATAATATTGGTTTGAACCATATATGACCACTAGTCAATCATAAAAAGTTTGTAGCGGCCTTGAGTTAATGAAGGTAGGCAAAGGTTGTAGATGTATATTTAAGCAATTTAAACGCAAATTGGATGGTTCCAAACACCCAAATAGACTCCCTGATATTTCTTGGGGCCCATGGGAAGCACCCTAACCTGTTTCATTTCTAGGTCCAAAAATGTCGGAAATTATCCAAAAATGAAGGCTATAACTCACACTATCAGGCCAATTTTGGAAAAAAAAAATCCAAAATTGAAGTGAAGGTGTAGGGGGTCCATTGGAGTCCTATAAGTTGGTTTGGAACCCATATTAAGGCTACCAATAGGTTTATAAAGTCCTAAGAATGAGTTTGGTTCATCTATGTGGCTATTTCGAAATTATGTTGCATTGGTAGGTAGTGATATGCCGCAAGAGATGGTTATTTATATAACCAACATGGCATCTCGGGGCCCTATGAAGGTCTATAGAGTCCATCTTCGTTGGTGTTCCATTATGATGTTGATTTAGAATTTATACTACTCTGCATTATTCTATTAGTAGTATATTATTTCACTGTTGTGTTTGTATATGTGTTCAACATCAATCAATGTTGACTTGGGTTTCAACTTGGAAGTGTATGGGGAAGGGTGCATTGGTAAGGAATCATTGCCCTAAGCACCTGCTGAAAGAAGAAGACCTTTGGAGTTTCTTACATTATAAGTAATTAGAAGCTATGACATTTGAAGAGTAGCTTGCCCTATTTTGTTAGTGCACAACTGATAATTTTGCCCAAGATTTTACAGTCCAATCGGCTGCATTAGAAGTTACTAATTACTAATTAAAGCCATAAGAGTTAACACCTCATGTAAATGAATTCCATATTATGAACCTTTTGTTTATTCTTGCTAATTTAGCAACCTGGACGTATTTTAAGAAAGGTGACTAGTACTGTACAGTAGTTTACACATTGTTGGAGTTGCAATGTGGAGCACGTCTTTTGAATTTTTTGTTGGTCATAAGAATAACAAAGTAAGGCACAACAATGAAGGAAAAACAGAGCAAGGAAGAGGTACCTTCATTATTCCAGCGAGAACTGCACCTCCAAGGTACACCATATGCTTTCTTCTTGGTGGGTCTTCTATCCTTAATCTCAGCTTCTACAGATTGAAATAAACAAGATGTATAAAAGACTCATTAATGAAGAATCATATTCATAGTTTATACCATGGGAAGCCCCAGGTAGAAGCAGATAGGAGTCCAGGAGCAAGCACTTCAAGCCAAAACACTAAACAGAGATACCTAAACAGCCAAAAAATGTTTAAAGAACACGAATAGATTCATACTGAAAAGCCCATGACTAGTCTAAAAACAATATAAAAATACAGAATTTACCAAAGCACAAGAACAAATTGCCACAAATTTACCACCCTTCCAAAAGGGAATATACACCATCAACACTTGTTAAAAGATGCAGACATTCCTCTCCGACCAAACTATCTACAGAATCTTCATCAAAGCATACCTGAAAATTTTGCTTCTTTCCAAAACCTAAACCCCAATATCTAGTTTATGAATGCTTAAATCAGGTCAGAATATTGAGGTCAACGGAATCATCAAATTTAAAGAAGATATGAGTTATTTTAGTTCTATTGCAGGATTCAACAATGGAAGTTGCACTTCTAACATAGAACAACCGCTCCAATTCTCACTCCTCATGATAGTGGAAAACACAGCATTCTGCCACTTCCACAGATACATGGTTTTTTTGAGAAAATTAGTAGCTACAAAATTAGGCCTCAGTTTTACAACTTGCAAGTATTTCTCATGGATGTGAACATTACAATCACAAGAGCATGACTAGTTGCATTACATTCTAGGGAGTACTAACATTTTCTGACAATAGAAGACAGTTTTGTAGCCAAAGTTCTTGGCACAATTTTTTTACATGAAGTTTGGTTCCTCTAGCCCCTAAATCATCTAACAAGAACCAACATTATTAAATTCACTAAAAATTGATTCGAGTCTTCTTTCCACCCACAGTACCTACCCCTGACCTCTTTTTTTTTTTCCTGACACACCTGCCCCTAACCTTTCATCACCTCAATTTTGTCAACTACACATAACTACAAAAATTATCATGTCCGATAAAGCAGATGAAATTCGAGTTCACTAGCCAGGTCTAAACTGTTTAATACACAATTGTCAAGTGTTACGTTTCACAGTCCAAAGTAATAAGCTCACAGAGCAATGAAGAGCTAATTGGCATGTATATAGTTGGATAAGCAGTAAGCCAGTAACCAAACCAGTGTGTTATAGGTCGCCAAATTATTAATCTCTGACATTATGTATAGAGCTCAGCATGAGGGCCAATCAAGCACGGCATGAAAGTGGCCTGACCTTGCACGAGCCTTCTACAAGCCTGAAATGTTACAATGGCATGCCAGTGGGCCATGGGTCGTGCATGGACATCATTTTCAAATTTTGGCATGGGCTTAGCATGAGTACGACGACCCGGCCTACATATTGAAATGTTTTTTTTACCAATTTACCAAAAGTATAGTATTACTACCAGGCCTGCTAGCAGGTCACGGCGCGCTAGAATACTACAAGATACATAGGTCAAGCCGTGCAAGGATTCCATTATTTGAATGATCGACATGAGCCTAGCATGTCACGATTTTATCTTAGACCATTCTAGACATAACCTGCTTGAGCATAATGCACGTGGGCCTACATGGCGCGGCCTATGCCCAGCTTTAATTATGTATTTGACAAAGATTGCTTATCCTTAGGCTACTTGATGATAAAGATCAAAAATAAAATTATGAAAGCTCTTAGGAAACCATAATAAAGTTAACTATGGATGAAGTCTATTTGAAGCTTCCACAGCAAGGCAACGACATGTATGATTTTCAAACAGATTTTTTTTGAATGAGCCACTAAGTAATGATATTTAGCCATGCAGTCAATAGTATCTCAAAGCTTACCTTCAATCCATCTCTGTTTCCTTTAAGAACAACATCGAGGTATCGGTCCAAAATTTCCCTCTCCAGCCTGTAATTCATTCACAACACACATCAATTTCAATCCATTTAGAAAAAGAAGGGATAAAGACCCAAGAAAAAAAAGTCCCATCCAGCATTTCAAAGAAAATACGTAAAAGGTAATAATGTTTTAAAAGGCATGAAGCACATAGAGGCAACAGAGAGCTAGGGAGCAAGGCATGAAAATAAGGCATATGTCTTGACAAGTTTCAGATTATAGAATGAAAAGAGTTATATGATGACTATTATGACAGATTAGAATTCAAAAGGCATTCATCACTGATCTTCCATAAATAGAACTCCATCACAATTCACATACAAAATGTCCACCTATCTACTTTCGTAATCCAATTTTACAGCCTTTTTTGGTTAAAAAATCCATATTACCCGATCAAGTTAAGGCCCATTCTTTTATTGTATTTCATACTTCTGAAAAAACATGGGCAATGTTGGTAGTGATTTTATACGGGATATGAAGTGATTTTTATTAGTAAGCTTTATGCTGTAGCATACCTTTCAGAATAACATAGGGTGAATTTTAATGAGAATTGTATAGCCTTTACTATCTTTTTTATATGTTTGCCCTGCTGTGCTATTCTAGAAATAGGGATCTCATTTTAAATGTTACCATAAAAATTTGTTAAATTTCCATCCCGTTTAAATAAGTAATATCTCTTTTGAGTATGCATGTATCACTGTATAAGTCGTTCCAATACAAAGGGAACATTCCCAAGAGAAAAAGGCCTGCCAAAAATTTTATAGTTGTACAGGTCTTGAATTCAAACTAGGGTATAAATAATAAAATAAGGCAAGCGTCTCAAAAATAAGAGTTCAGCTATTAAATTTTTTTGGACATGAGACAAAGGTTTCCAAACATTACCGACTTGGTAGTCCAGGATACATGGTGCTCCCCCCACTGAGAACAATATGTTGATAAAGCTGCAAAGAAGATTGCATATCTATCAGTGGTTGACCGAAATTAATTTAACCCAAAACATGCATATAATGTTTGAAGAAAATGCTATGATTTATCTACTGTCACAAATGAGATCCTGATCTGTCAAAAATATGCATTCTCGTGCTTGTATCTACTACTTTCAGTTTGAAACTCAAAATCAACATCCATTCTACAAGCTATAGGTTTTATTCTCAATAACAACAGAGTTGCATATGTGAAAAAAAGAACAGATAACTACATAAGCAATTCTGGTTTTGGATTCAGTGGCCCTTCCGTCCGTCAGGAATTTATTTATTTTTATTTTTTGGCACATATCATCTTCAACTCTTCTGTCCATTTTTTTTTTTTTTCCTTTGGCAATATTCATACACTAGATGTGCTTTTCTAAAAATATCACAGTTGAATACCAGGATTTACAATCAAATAAAAACCATGGGATATTTCTTGGAGATTACAACACAAAAAGTTGACTTGCACAACTAAACAAACAAGCAAAACCAAAGCCTTATCCCCAAATTGGTTGGTTGCGTGAACCAAAAATTTATCTCTCTTGGTCATCCACAAACTTCTTTTTCCTCCATTTGCTTCTTTCTAGTGCTACATGTTCCACCAAACCCCCTTCCTACACGTCACTCTTAACTCCCACTATAATCATCTTTGACTTCTTTAGAAATATTTTTTATCCCAACCTTCCTAGCAACAAAAGTAATTCTCCCTTATCATATCCTCAATATTTGCAACTACAACTTCCCTACGATTATCTACATTATAGTGTTCCCAAACATCCATTTCAATTTCACATCTTTGCTGCACTCAGATATACAACCTTTACAGATACGCTAACATTTCCTTAGGGTTACAAATTAAGGACTTGTTAATCATTGCACTAGAGTCCCAACATTGCTGATAATTTTTGGCATTATAAAGAGAAAAGCAATATTGCATTGGAATATTGAAGTGGCTGATAATATGTAATAAGAAAAGTAGTTAAGGGAGCATAATAAGAGATGACGTAGCTAGAGGCTAGAGCAACCAATTGTAAATAACATTCAACAATTATCAAAGAGTTTACCATCATGCGATTATCAATATCCATCTCCTGGATACAGCGGAATACCATATCAGCCAATCCATCACCTTCAACATCTATAAGTTCCTGTGGCAAGTAAAATGTAGTATAATTGAGCAATAATGCATGAAAAACGATACTTTACGTCTTTCACTTTGGCTTTCAATAATGATCTTCCATAACATTAGTGCCTTTAGACTATAAGTTCTACATCATATTTGGTTACCAGCTTATACCAGTAACAACAATTAATCATTCAGAAAACACTTAGCATAATATAAGTTTCAGATCTTATAGAAAAGAACAAAGGTAGCAAAAATAGTGGTTCACAGCAAGGTGCCCTTAATTAAAGTGGATTATTTACCATCATTCATTTTGGAAAAAATAGAAATTTAGTACAAGTACATATTACAAATGTAAGCTGAGCTCTGCTTACTGGAGTGAAAAGTGCTTCAGGGGCCTGAAAACGCTCTGTGCCCACTTTTATAACCCTTCCATCTGGCAGCTGGGAGAAGAAACCCTTATCAGTACTTAAAATTTTGCACAAGTGTGTGTGGAAAGCTATTAAACACATCGACTTACTGTGTACTTCTTCATTAGAATGGTGGTCTCAAGTCCCAACTGATACTCTCGTTTGTAATCATAACTGCACTACAGAAAACTAGTCATAGATGGAGATAGAAATACATACAGGAAGTTTCTTCTAACATATGTATCCTGACCTTACATAGCAAAGCTTTTCTTTGATTTGTCTGACAGTTTCAAAATCAGCTGCCTTGTTCATGGCATACCTTCAGAAAAAAGAATCAAGAGTCAACCAAACTGATAAACAATTCCCCCAACAAGCTTAAGAGAGAAACCAGCATTGATAGTACCATATTATAGCTAATTGAACTGATTCTCACCCTCTTCGTGTGAGCAAATCCACAAGGTAAGATGTTATGTGCCTCCCTGCCACATTCATTCGCTTTGTCAAATGTGGGAACGAGTAACCATCAACAACAGGAACCTGGAAAAGAAGTTCATGTGGACCTTTAATTACTATTGATCCACATGGGAACAACATCCTGTGTTGCACTTTAAGTTCTTTTTTAAACAATAATATACTAGCTTCAATCACATCTTGTTTCAGAATAGGATAATAGATACATGCAACAAGTAATAGATAGCAAGCACGCGTTTAATTAACCTAAAATAGGTGATCTGTGATGACATGGAGCAAAAAGGGTTTAAAGATGAGAAACCGCAAGTTTTTGTTCCTTCGACTTTTAAAAATTCTTCATTATAAATAGTTTACTTTTGACATTAATCATATAACCACCTTTGACCATCTTTGGTAACTTATACACATAAAGAAAAACATGCCAAGTGGGATTCTGTTGGTATCAACTCAGCATATGATTTTTACTTATAGATAATTAAAAAATAATAATAATAATTGCCAAAGTTATGCATTGGCAATAGAGACATCATGCAAAATGCATACAAAGCACTGAATGTGCTGCAATGAAAGATTGGAATAATATGCTTAGAATTATATGCAAGACCTAATTCAGAAATAACTGCAATAGAAGTTTATGCAATCCACAAAGACAAAATTTACTTCCTTTTCAACTTTCTATTCACCAAATGGGGGAGGAAGACCAAAGCAAATGACCACACTCGATAAGCAAAAGAAAAATTCTATGTTTTCAGAATTTACCACATGAGTGACACCATCCCCAGAATCAATAACTAGCCCTGTGAGCAAGCCTGCAAAATTTAAGGGCTGATACCATAAGCAAGTACATATGAATATATGATTACATTGTTTGACAGGAGTACTGATGCTTTAAAGGTATTATGCAGCATTTTGCAGTTAAAAAATGAGCTACAGTCTTACAGCACCTTGAGCATAAAGGGTTAGGACAGCTTGGATTTGGATAAAGACACCAGAGAAATTGTATCTCTCAAACATTGTCTCAACCTACATTATGATCAAATCATCAATCATCCTTATATAACAATTAAAAATTCTGCAAGTGTGATGAACAAATAAGAATGCAGGTTTAATTATACAAATTTCCTAAGAAATGTCGACTGGAACAGGAAAAACAAAATACAAAGTACCATTTGCTCACGGTTTTTTGATGGATTCAGTGGTGGATCTGTCAACAAAATTTTACATTCTGTAGGATCTACCTGCCAAAGATTGCAACAGAACAGAGAGAGAGCATATAAAATTAGTGTTGAATTAGTTTTACAAGCATTTTTAAAAGAGAGCAACAGATTCTAGTATTCTACCTTTAATTCATTGAAAAATGCATAATCCCATACATGACACATGTCATCCCAGTTCTGAATAATACCATTGTTGACAGGATAAGTAATATCTAATTGGTTTCGCAAGTCTGCACAAGCCTCTCCAACAACAATGTCCTGCATAATGAACCCATGAACCTTCTCAGAAATCCTCATAAGTAGCAAACGACCTACAAGCTAACTACAAGACATAATGAAACAGATGTTCGGCATAAGGCTCCTAAGATGAGGAACCAACAGAATCAGCCTCCTTCACAAGTAAAGAAAGAAGAATTCACTTGCCTAAGTTTAAAAATTCCCACCTTCAATTCTTGTTCCATCAATGATTCGTCATACCGTAGCATAGGCTTTCCCACCACACAAGGGAAAACCGAAGTCGGAAAATTCTCTCCAGCAAATCCACACTTAACATACTACAAGAAAAGGATAAAAGGGATACTTGTCAACACTTCAACTCTTCTGGTATTAAAAAATAATAATATAACTCGAACAAGGTCACCTCCTAACAAATAGAAAATACGAATCCCAACGATCAAGATAAAGTATTTTCCTTCAACAAATAACATATATATTGCTATTAAATTTTAGGGATTGTTTCAATAATACTTCCTAGCTATCCCCATTTGCCTCGTTTCGATAATACTTCTTCCATCACTCATCCCACGGAACATTATCTTGCAACAATTCTCATAAATACAATGTTTTACTAGTATGCACATTCCATGGCTGAAGCTGTATTGTACCATTAATGATCACATTATTAAAAGTTAACTTTTTTCACCATAATAATTGAAAATGCAAAATTGGACAACTCCTAACATATTAAAACTCAATGTAGCTAAAAATTAAGACAGACATTGGCAACTCTAAACCCTAAATTAATCATCAAACAAATTAAACAATCAAGGGTTTACACAACAATTGGGGAAAAATTATCATATCTCCATAAAAAAAAAATCATGGTTTGACATTAAATAATAACGAGATTGATCATTTTTAAAATTCGTATTGCAATAATAAAAGAGAATAAGAAATTGAAGATTAAAGGAAGTTACCCCGGTGCCATTATCGCAGACGACGACGTTTTTATTGTCCATTAGTATGATCTTCTGGAAATTTAGGTTTTTTTTTTAGATGATCAAGAATATAAAGAGAAGATGAATTAAAGAGAAGATATTGAAAATGCAGAAATGATTGATTAAAATCTTGGAGTGAAAGTTACACCATCAAATTGAATTTGAATTGATGGTGTGTTTGATGGAGGAGAGCTACTACAATTGGAATGGAGGTGGGTGAGGACTGAGGAGAGAGACAAAAATGTACTCGTATTGTGTAAAGTACAAGTATTTTCGCTTCGTTTTACGGATTAATAAACTGTGTGTGGTTTGAGCAATGTTCAGGATTGCTACCTTGTATTCAAGTATTCAACTATTGACTATATAATAAAAAAGTCTTACTACCTCCGGTTTATATTATTTGCGTCATTTTTCTCCTCTACTTTACGTCAAATCATTGTAATAATATGAAACAAAGATAGTATTTTTCATCAAAATTGAAAAATAATACAATTTTTCAAACTTTAAAATTAAGTTAAATTATCCTATGATAAGTAAGAAATAGTACAATTAAAGAGTAATCATCTTATTCAAATTAACTATAATTTGGTCGGGTAAATTAACACAACAAATAAATTATCCTAAGGTGGTAAGATTAGTATAGTAACATTTGTTGGTCTTGAGTTCAAGTCTTGCTAAGGGTGGAGGAGGGTTGTCATATTCATCTATGGAGTTGAATAAGACTAACAACCTTCTCATGTGTAACATTGTAAGATTTGTAACAGTGTGGCTGACTGTTTTCTATAATACCAAGTGAGCTAATAGTCATAAATTCTAATTACAATAATGATGGGATGGGGGTGGCTTTTGTCCTAAATAAGGAACGACACAGCTTTTGCATCTTTGTATATTCATGGTACTGCAAGCCGCTCAAGGTGCAGTCCTAACTCAGTTCCTATAATAAGTTCAAGCATGCATCTAAACCATTGGCCACCATTATATTGCCACCATCCCTCAAGCTCGGATAATTTATCTCATGTTTATTCATTGTAGGCTTGTAGATATCTCCACGACCTCAAGACCTGGAACATAATCTTCAGATTCACTAGCTGAGCTATGCAATTCCCAAGTTTTATTATAAATTCAACTTCAAGTGCTTGAACAGAACCCACACAGCTAGTCATAAACTACTGCAGACCCTGTCAGATGAGAAGTGGCTGACACTCATAGCTCGCAAGTTTGCAATCTTTGTTGCGTATTTGCTGGATTTGACATATCAGAAGGGCAATCACTGTGCAATATTCAGTTCAGAATCCCACAGGTGAAGCACCAGACCCAATTTAATTGTATCATCATTTGCATATCCGGATCTGAATACCTGCTTGGAGGCTATAATGGGTGCCTTAAACCTGAAACCGATGTTAGCAATTTCCTAGAGATGGCTTTCCATTTATCATTCATGGGAACGAATTCATTATGTTGCATTTCTTGAATCAGCTGCAGAATTGGCTCTGGATTGGAAGAACAAGCCAGAAGCGCCAAAATTTCAGTTGATATTTCCTGCAGCAGAGAAGGTGAAGCAGCCATAACCTGTTTCAGGTGGTCGACAGCAGTTTCAAATTGTTGAGCTTCTGCAAGATATTTCAACAAAATAACATGGGACTCTTTATGTCTCAGGTGACAATTACTGCACAAGAATTTCGAAGCATATAGTAAACAACCTGTATCATCAAAGACAAAGTTGATCTCAATTATCAAATCAAAAGAAGAAACACCTATCACCAGTTTGCTAGGAATAAGCACTGCGTAAGAAGCACTACCTCCTTTACAAAGGGACAGAATAAGTGGATTTACAATAGCTTGTGCTATTGTTATATCCTGATCAGCAACCTTGTAGAAAATCTGAATCGCAGCTTCAAATTTCGAGTTTTGACAAAGGCATTCGAGCAGAAATATGTATATGACAGCATCAGGCATTACGCCTTTCTTTAGCATGTTATCAAAGAGTACCTGTGCTTCATCAATTTGGCCTATTTCTGCAAACTTTTTAATGAGGATGTTGTAAGTCTTCAAGTTTCCATCAACCCCATAAGCAAACATTTCATCCCAAAGCTTCTTTGCAGGACGAATAAGGTCCTCCCCACATAACGCTTCCATAAGAACATTAAAAAATGAGATGTCAGGGAATAGACCTTTCCTCCTCATCTCTTGAAGAACACCATAAGCTTCTCTTACTTTTCCAGCCTCGCACATAGACGAAACCATAACATAATAGCTCTCTAAGTTTGTGAAATAGTCTTTGGAAGACAAAACATTAAAAACATCCAACATATCATCACTTTTACCATGTTTGTACAAGTTTCTACTCAAATTGCTCAAGGTAATAAGATCCGGCATTCTTTCTCTTTCGAGCATGAACTTGAAGAACAACATAGCTGAACATGAATCGACCAATGATACCGATCCAATCAAAGCATTCAAAGCATCATCTTCAATAGGAAAATTCCCTTCCAAAATCACTAACCCCAGCAATTTAGCTTCATAAATCAAATTTTCTGAAAGCAAGGTAAATATAAATTCTCTATAATCACTAGCCCTTGGAGCCACTCCTAACTTCCTTTTCTTTTTCAAAATTGCTTGTACCTCGAAGATACACCCCGGTCCCTTAGACCGAAAAGCCTCCGCTACAACCCTATAAGCCATAAAATCAGGCTTACAATCTCTATTCCTCAACTCCTCTAATGCATTATAAGCCTCGGTCACTCGGCCTACCTCGCAAAGCCCGTGTAAGATCAAAAGGGCAACTATCGACCCATCAAACCTCGAAACACCAATTCTAACTCTATCCAACGCACCTAAAATTATATCCATTTGATAATCCCGACAAAACCTCCACATAAACAAACCAATTCCAAGAGTGTTAAAACTCACACCTCTCACAAGCATTTCATCGAACAGCTTGCGTGCACAATCAATCCGCCCTTCGGAAACCAACCCAGCAAGCAGAGAATTACAAGTTTCAGCCCCAACATCGAAAATCGACGACTCAACATCTTTCAATATCAAAAAACCTTCATGAGATTTCTTCGATTTAACAAGGGAAGCAACAACAGGACGATAAAAAGAAGGATCAACAGCAAAGTTTCGAGATTTGGCTTCTTTAAGAACCTTCTCTAAGGAATTAAATTGGCGGGAAATCGAGAGCGATTTGAGAATGGAGTGATAAGAAATGGAGGAGTGAGAAAAATTGGGTTGTTGAGCAGCCCAGTTGAAGAAACCCAATGAAAGAGAAGGATGACGAAGAAGATGAGGGTCAATGACTCGGGCAACGAGTGATGGGTTGAGCGAGTCACGGCAACCGAGTTGGTGAAGGGTTTGCTCGAGCGACCGAGTCCATGATCCGATCGGTTTCGAGTTGGAGGAAGCTGAGATCAAAGCTCTGCTTATTTGGGTCGCTGCTTCTCTCACCGGTGGTTGCATTTGATATTGGAGGGAAACCTGCGATGGGAAACTATAATTCAAAAATTACTACTATTAAACCTACACTCTTTTGTAGATTATAACTAGGATTCAACTAAGATTATGTAATTTTTGGGTAATGTATTTTTTTTTATTAAAATTTTGTTCATTCCTTAAATTGTGCTAATTTTGTCTCTTTTCTTACATCCCATGCTCTTACCGACATCATCATTGGCTTGTTTCAACTTTGTTTAATTTTATGGAGCTTATCAAATAAAGTATGAAAATGATGGTAAATCTTGCTTTTAACTTCTAGTTTTCAATAAAGATTATGCATGCATATGTGACAAAATTTGCGTAAGATCTTGTTTATTGTTAAAAGTTAGGATCAATATGGAGTTAGCCACAAGATTTAAAATTTTGGCTTTGTACCATTAACAATAGATAGTTTAAGAAAATCATTGTCTAAAAGATCAAAAATTAGATGCGTAGTCTAAGAAAATATTGAGGCTGAAAAAAGAAGTTATCTACAAAAGCTCATTAATTAAAACAAGTTGATGTTGCCGAGTACCACACAAGAGTAAAACAATTAAGTCAATCTTAAATCTCAAGAATAATAATACACTATATAGTCTTTCTTTTTTTTTTTTCTATAGAAAATAAATGTGTAAAGTTTAAGGAAATATATCCGTACTCTGTATGTAAGCACTGCAGCACAAATTAGGCCATCATGTGATTTATCCTGATAAGGTACAACACATAAAACTAATGGGCATAATAATATGTGGGCTATTTTATCAATCATTCCACATATACTTTGATTTGTCTTATTATTTGATCAACGACTTAAGTTTAATTAATTATATAAAAATAGTGTATAGTATATGAACCAAATGGGATGTTCCAAGTTGAAGTCTAAAGAGGAGAAATAAGTGGGCAATGACATGTGCGTTATATACACAATTCATGTGAGCATTTGAAAGTAGCACATGCTTTGGTGGTTACAACTTGGATCTAGTTGCCCATTTCAATCTGCCCATCTACCTTTGCTTCTTTCAATTTTGTTGAGGGTCATGACACTTTCGTCACCTTATAACTTCCCACCTCTTTTTTTTTTTTTTTTTTTTGACCAGGTTCGATCTCTTTCTTTTCTGGGTGCATCGATCTGGCCTCTCTCTAGCTAGGATGCATATGTGATGAATTACGATATAGTATAACGAAATGTGTATCATTTTTTGTGTGTGTGTGTGTGACTAGATCCTTTTTCTTTTTTTGGTGATTTCAGTCTCTCTCAAGGATGTGTATGTGATGAATTACGACTTGGTGAAATGAAATACTACATATATACTAATACTACCTTTATATTATAATGTTCGAGTTATTTACGATTCATAGGCCAAAAATAAAATAACTATGATTTTTCTTTTATGATTAACGAGTATATGAAATAAAAAAAAAAAAGTAGTACAAATCATGTGTTAAAATAATTGTTAATTAAAATTAAATTATAAAAAAAATATCATTAGACAATTTTTTTTTTTTTGGTGCAAATGAGGGGCAAGCCCCGAGAATAAAAATAACAAGGTAAAAACTAAGGTACTACCCGTGGCCAAGCCACTCCCACTACATCCTCATATAAAATTCTCCCTAAAGCTAGAGGGGGGGGGGGATTGAATCAATTCTATGGAATTGTTCTGAGATACTCCTTGATTGGCTAACCAATCAGCAGCGCGGTTTGCTTCCCTGTATATATGATGTACCTCCACCTTCCAACTAGCATCATTAAGCATTTGTTTGCATCTAGTGAGAATATGCACACTTTCTCCAGAGTATGTAGTATCTTTATTTAGAGCTTGAACTAAGGATTGACTGTCGAGTTGAACTTGGACCATAGAAGGTTGCATTCTGGCAGCAAGTTTCAGTCCATACTCCAGAGCTTTTGCTTCAGCCATAAAGGCATTACATATGCCAAATTTTAGAGAGAATGCATATGCTAGCTTGCCAGTATGATCACGAATTAAGCCACCACCACCAACAGGACCAGGAGATCCTTTGGCTGCTCCATCGGTGTTGAGGACCAACCAGCCACAGGGAGGAGCTAGCCAGCGAATATAAGCTTCATGCCTTGTAGAGGTGTTCTGTCATGTTCCCGTGTTATCATCACCAAGAATTCTCCATGTTTCTTCAAATTTGGTCAGAAGGAATTGACTTGTGTCAATTGGAATGTCTTGAGTATTACCAAAGGTCACACTATTTCGCCATCTCCACAACCACCATACAACTAAAGCAAAGTATGTGGGCCAAATTTCAGGAGAAAGATCATTTCTCACCTGATTTTTAATGTTTCTGAGTACCCATTGCTGCAATGTACCCTGCCTGAAGCTAGGAAATTTCGCAGGGCCACCCACATGCTTCAAAACTTCTCTTGCTGCTGTGCAATCCCTGAGCACATGGATAGCCGTTTCTTCAAGGTTACCACAGAGTTTACACCAAGGGTTGTCAGCTATGTTGCGCTTGAACCGATTAACATTGGTCATGATTCTGTCATACGCTGCTGTACTTTGAGCTTCCAAATAAGATCCCAGCTACCATCAGTTATGTTCTCAGTTAATTCTCCTCGAATAATCATAAGTGCAGATTTTATAGTGAATTTTCCTTTAGCAGCACCACCCCAATATAATAGGTCTCCCACTGAGGAGTCTGGTTGCAGGGAGTGATCTGCTACTTCCTGTAAAGTTACAGCAGGGAGAATGTCCGCAAAAAGTTCCCATTTCCATCCTAAATTATTATCCCACAGGTCTGCTACATTGGCATTATCAATTTCGCTTGGAATATCAGTGATAGCAAGAGATCTTAGAGTGCTTTTGCAAGCCCATTTGTGATCCCAGAATAAGGTGGCATCCCCTCTATTCACAGCCACTCTAGCCCCCTCGCTAATATATTGAACATTTTCAGTTATGCCTCGCCAAACATTCGACATGTTTGCTTTGGGAGTGAACATATCAACATCACACCGATTTTTACAGTACTTGGCACGCAAACCACAAGCCCAAAGAGAATGAGGTTCTGTCAAAATTCTCCAACCGAGTTTGGCAAGAAAAGCAGAATTCATTTCTCTTGCACTTCTCATCCCTAAACCCCCTTGACTTTTAGGAAGCTTCAAGGTTTCCCAAGAAAGGAGATGAATTTTCTTCTTATCCTCATCACCACCCCAAATAAATCTCCTAGTTCTTTTGTCGATATCATCACAGATCGATCTTGGAAGCTTGGCCGTTTGCATAGCATAGGTACTCATAGTAGAGATGGTAGATTTGGCAAGAGTAATACGACCTGCCATTGACAAGTACTTTGTCTTCCATCCAGAAAGTTTCCTATCTATTTTTTCGCAAAGATATGCAAAAGTGTTCAAGGTGACCCTGCTAGTAAGGGTTGGCATACCCAAGTAAACCCCAAGGTCATCCATTGCTTCAAATCCCAAAGCCTGACTAACTGCAGCAATGTTATTTGGTTCCATGTTGCGGGAGAAATAAACCCGAGATTTAGCAATGCTAACCCGTTGACCTGAAGCACCACAAAAACGTCCCAGACATTCTTTAATAATCTGAGCTTGTTCCACAGTGGCTTCACCAAACAAAATTATATCATTTGCGAAACATAAATTTGTTAACTTCGGTCCATTTTTACTAGCATAGATAGGCTTCCACCTATTTGCGATAATTGCTTCTTCAATAATTTGATTGAGCCTTTCCATACATAACACAAAAATGTATGGAGAGAGGGGATCTCCTTGGCGAATTCCATGACCCGGCTTAAAAACTTGAGTGGGTTCTCCATTCCATAAGACTTGCATAGAGGGAATGGTTATGCATTCCATTATGACATCAGTCAAAAGACAGGGGAATCGAATTTCCAACAGTGTATCACGAATAAAATCCCACCTTAGTCTGTCATATGCTTTTTCAAAGTCAATTTTGATAGCCATCAATCCCTTCTTTCCTTGTTTGTTCCGCATTGTATGGATCAATTCTTGTACTATAACAATATTGTCGGTTATTTGGCGACCCGGGACAAAGCTAGTTTGTGTACAAGTAGTCAAATGTGGCATCATTGGTTTAATTCTATTCACTATGGTTTTAGTGATTATTTTATAAATAACGTTACAAAGCCCTATTGGACGGAACTGAGTAGCTAGCTCTGGGTTATCGACCTTTGGAATAAGCACAATGAAGGTATCATTAAGGTTATTAGGAATACCTTTCCCAGCAAGAACATCAAGAGCGACTTTGTAAAAGTTGGGAGCCACGATATCCCAATGTTTCTGATAAAACAAAGCTTGAAACCCGTCTGGTCCAGGTGCCTTTAAAGCACCCATTTCTTGAATAACCTTATCGATTTCACATTTTACAAAAGGTCGAGATAAGTTATCCCAATCCCTTTGCGAAAATTCTGGAAAAATATCCGAAGGTAAGCTGCCCTGCTTCTCCCCTCCTTCATCAGTGAATAAATTGGTGAAATATTGGACAATGATCTCTTGTACTTTAGCCTTATCATGTATCCAGTCTCCCTCTTGGTGCTCCTTAATAGCCGAGATTTTATTCCTCCATCTTCGAGTGATAGTGCTGAGATGGGAAAAGGATGTATTTTGGTCTCCTTCTCGAATCCAGTTTACTCTAGATTTTTGATACCAAAGAAGTTCTTCTTGCTCTAAAACTTCATCTAACCCCTTACGTAATTTTGCTTCCAACTTGATAAGGTCCCTGGATTTTTGCATAATTAAATTCCGTTGGACCCCAGCAATTCTAGCAGGCAGAGTTCTTTTTTTCCTAAAGATGTTATGGAAAACGGTCTGATTCCAATCTTGAAGATCATTTGCGATTTTATTTAAATGGGGTATAAGAGGAGCATTCTTATCCCATTTTTCTTCAATGTATGAACGAAAGTTCTCATGAGTAAGCCAAGCCGCCTGGAAACGGAAAGGTTTGTTAACCGAATTGATCGGAGCGAAACCATTAGGACAGATCAGCACCGGACAGTGATCGGACTGTATTGCTGGAAGGTTCTTAGAGGCTGCATTCGCAAAACGCAAAGCCCACTCACTATTGCAGAGTGCCCTGTCCAAACGAGCAGTAATTCTTGTATCCACAGATTTTCCCCGAGCCCAAGTATGGCCAGGTCCACTGAATTCGACATCAATTAAATGCAAGTCCTCCACCCATTCATTGAATTTGGCTGTGCGTCGAGAAGTATCAGGACAACTTGAGCTGCGTTCGTGATTAAATCTAGTCTTATTAAAATCTCCCGCTAACATCCAAGGCTTATTATTCGAGTTAGCAAAATCTTTTAATTCTTTCCATAAATCAGCCCTCTTGTTGGGGTCAGGATTTGCGTAGACAGCAGTGAAGTACCACGGTTCGCCACCAATTCTTTTGATATCCATGGTAATGTATTGACCATGTTTGATAATTGGTTCGACAGAAACAAGTTCCGGCTTCCAATAAATCCAAATACCACCGCTGAATCCTTGTGCATCAACTCTGGTGTGACCATTATAACCAATAACAGAAGCAATGTGTACGGCTTGTTGACCCCCCATGTGAGTTTCTACCAAAGCTAGCACATTAGGCTTATGATTCCTTACTATGTCCTTGAGTGCATTCAAAAAAGAACGGCTACCAGCACCTTGAACGTTCCATACCATACAGGAAATTGGTGAACTATCTGGAGCTAAGTTGGGTATTGTATCCTCCATTAAAATTGGAATTTTGGGTAAAGAGCTTACGTATGCTTGTGATATTAATCGCATAATACGATTAACTTCATTGGGAATGCGGAGAGTTACAATCAACTCCATTGGCTCCGGGTTCGGTTCCACCCATGATTCGATTCGAACTTCCATCACATGAGTCAGGGGTCTGCAGTGCCCATGTAAGGTATCTCCATTGGTTGGCCCACACATAGGATCTTCTCGGGGGGGGGGGGGGATGTTCAAGAGAATAGCATCCGATGGTGGGGGGAATACTTGATGATTCATTGTGAGTGGCAGTGTCCAGTTCAACTTCTATTGCTTGTTTATTTGCTTCTTGTGGCTTTTGTGTTGAGAAATTTAAAATCTCCAGACCTTGATTTTCTTTGCCAATGCTTGGTATATTGCTTTCAAGAGATGGCTTTTTTTTGGAAATTTCCAAATTTGTGATTGGAGTAAGGGGAATATTGCTAGGTACCTTTTTCACGATTTTTATGGTATCTTTTTTTTTTTGTTTTTCTGTTGACTTCCTAAGCTTATTTCAGTACTAGATTTCCCAAAATTAAAGGGAAGATTTTTTTGAGGAGAATATTTGGTGGGTTGGGATTTGTCACCAAGCTTCACAGTGGCTTCACGAGGGATTGGATTGATTGGAGAATATTTTGATAAGAAATTTGTTACCTTATCTTCACCCTGATTAATAGCTTCCATATTATTATCTTTTTGAGGGATATTATTAGAACTATCTTCTTCCTCTAATTGATCCGCCAGAGCAGCAAATCTTGATTTCATTCCACTTGTATCACACTCAGTTTCCTTAGCAGGTGATTGACTAGGAACTTTGGGAATATTCTGTCCTTCTTTGCCACTAGCCGGAATATTCTTTTCCACCCTTTGTGGTTTTTTCCGACCTGGCTTTTTAACCAACATCCAGGATCCAAAACCATCCAGTTCCTCAGGTTTTGCTTGAACATTGTCCAGCTGAGAGTTAATATCATCTACAACCATATTATCATTAGGTTGATTAGAGATACATTGATCCTCTACATGACCTAGCTTTCCACATTTGTAACAGATCATCTTGATGCCCTCATACTGTATTCTCCAAATTTTTGGACAATAAAGGTTTTGATAAATCAATTTCAATACTTAACCTTGTAAATTGACCCCTTTCAGCATAGGCCGTAGATTTGTCAATTCTAATAAACTTACTAATTTTTGCTCCTATTTTCTTTAAGAATTCCTTACCAAAATACTCTACTGAAAGATTGGGAATACGTACCCAGGCCATGAGTACATTAACCAAGGTCCTTGTGTAAGGACGTAGTTATAGTCATCCACATTGTTAAATCGAGCGATGAAGTATTTGCAACCAATATCAGTTAGAGACATATCTCCTTTTAGTTGCCATTTCTTCTTCAATCGTTTCATCAAACCCATATAACCTAGGCTGCCATCAAACATTCGAATGATGAGAGTGTGCCTCCAAGGTCTACGCATCGCTCTTTTTTCCTCTTTAGTAAGCAGAATGACAGGGCATTTTTCACTATCCTCCGGCTCTTCCGGGGACATCATCATCCTCATCCTCATCCTCATTATGGATTTGAATACTCGTATCCACCATTGTTTCCAGAGGGTTATCTCTTAGGAGATCCCTAAAAGACTTTGGGGGATGATTTCCATTGGGGGTCTGATGAGCAGATTGTCCATAGATGACAATGTTTTCACGCCCACCCCCAAAAGGCATGGGTATTGATGGGTCTAATTCCATCTCAGAATTTTCATTTCTATTGAAAATTTCATGAGTAATTTTCTGTTTTGGCTTTTTATTTGATCGGGCCACCTGATCGGTGATCTCCGGTGGGTTTGGCGGTGGTTGAGAGGGGTGTTGAGCAGTCTCCATGAGGAATTTTTTTTTTGGTATAATACTCCGTTAGGATCCGCTAGCTTGTTCAATGAATCAAAGCTAAAAAAAATTTGCAATCTTATTTATTATTCATTAGATAATGGACGGGCGAAATAAAAAGTAAACTTTTAAGACATTGAGAGATTTGTTGCTTTTCTATTTTGGAATGGAGGAAGTTTTTAAATTTTGAGAGATCAATGCTCTTTAGTAGCATAGATATATAACCATGCAAGAGTTGATGCAACACCATTTAATTATATGGCCAATTTAATTTTCCGTCATTAAATCATACAATATCATACAAAAATGCTTGAAACATAATTTTCTCTAACCAATCAATGTACACATATTAATATAAGTGAACGCTTTGGGGATTTGACGAGCTCAACTCTTCTAGTAGCTTACTCCAAAAAAAAAAAAAAAAAGGAAATTCAATTCCCCGAAGTAACAAGCTTTGCAACAACCGCAGCCTGGAGCTCTAACTCGTATAGTTGCGGTGGGGCAGGGGCGTGGGCGGCATTAGAGACACTAGAAGATCAGCAAAAGCTTCAATAATGAACTTATGAGTATGTTTAGGATTTAAGTTGAGATAACAAAGGAGAAGCTCCCGTAAATACTCCGACAAATCATCACTTTCATCACTAACATCTACTAGATTATGTTGATTATTTAGCTTCATTTCAATCTTCCTAGCCTCAATCATCTCCTGCATTGACCTTCGGAAGTCAATGTAAGGGTTGGGAGAGTCCTTTTTTATCGGGACTCCTCCGCCCACCAGTTTCTCCTTCATCTGATGCTCATCATCGTCGGAAAAAAGGGAATTCCAAAATAGAGTTGGAAAGACCGGGGGTGGAGACAAACAACCGTTGGGAGGCGAAAATAGCAGAAAGATCAGGACATTCGTCAGTGGCAGTGGCTGAAGAGTTGGAGAAAGAGGAGGATCCATATGTTTGATCCATATGTTTTCTTAATGGCACAAGTGCTTAATAACTATCCTATTATTGTTTTGATTTAAAATATGAAATGATTAACAACTATACAACATGGCCAAGTAGGTCCAACTAGCTTAAAAAAGCACATCGAATCGACAAATTCGTTGCCTAATACTCAGTACAAGTAAATAATTTTTCTTTTTGATACGAAATAATTTAATACACCGACCATTGTATTATTACGGTACATAAAATATAATCACAATTAATAATACGCACACCATAAAAGCTAATATCAATTGATTTTAGGATAAAAGTTTCCCTTAAGTAATTCGATTAATGTATATGCGCAGCTTCAAAATCATGGGATATAACACAAACACATAGTCGTAGCAACTAATATGAACTAGTGTGCACACATTAAAGTAGCTATGAATATGAACATGAATTTATTTTGCGAACCGAGCACCCGACCTTAGCTTCAATTGGAGGCCGGCTGAAGTTGGATCCTTCTAGAATGAGTATAAATATGATAGATTAATATAATGATGAAGAAGTACTAGTAGGTGCTACATGACAATAATGTGATTGTGTGAATGCGATGAGTTTGGTGCACTTACCCTCATTTAGTTCCCCATGTTCTTTGCTTGTTTGAACCTGAGCTTTTGGTTCAATCCTTTATTCTATTCAATGTGACTTATATAAAGGAATGTTGACATTCCATATACAAAATGCATGTACGTGCATCACTTTGCTAACATCCTATAACCAACAATGTTACCGTCCGCATTTGAATTGGTGTCTCTATTAACATCGATTTAAGAGTCGTGGTGTGAGAGTGAGACTTGTGACACTTAGAAATTAAAATGGATGGTGTATTCAGAATGCAATACAAATGAAAAAAATTCATAAAACAAAATTCAACTTCGGGTCTATGTTACTAGTTATACTAGCTAACATTGGTTGTTGACATTAACAGTACATATTGTAAGTTCTTAACAAAATTAAATCTGGAAAAGGTATTCTTGCATAATGCTTTTATTCGAAAGAGATAAAAGTAAGAGGAATAAACCGATCTTATCTCAATTCTCAACATACCCTACTCCTCATGTATGTTACAAAGTATAATCCAATAAGATTTGGTGTGTCAATGAAGTTATAGTAAGCACTTTCATCATAACCTCAAATCTCAATGAAAAGCTTTAGCCAAAAGTAAAAAAATTGATACTTAAAGCATACATTGTTCAATGATTTTTCCATCAATCCTACTCAAAGATGTTAAATATATTAGTTCATTTTTTATACTGCCCGTAAACTTTAAGGCATGTTAATAAGCATGCAAAGTACTGTTTATTGATATTTTTCTATGATCATGATCATGGGCCTGGAGCTTGTTCTACATTTACTTCAGATTGATTTGGGCTTTCCAAAGTTGTTGGGCTTGTAACTTCTTAGCACATTTCTCTTGTAATCCAAGTGCAAAGAAAAATGGTTGAAGTGAAGCAGTTATCTGCCTATGTAGGTTTTGCTGTTATGATAAATTACAGTTAGTTAGGATTACTTATAAACATTTTAGTGCAGCTTAAACCTAACTACATGGTAGTAATACTAACACAGAGAGCTAAACAAATGAACTAGTCTTTTTCGACGGCTTTTCTTGTATCAGTATAGGGTCATCCTGGTTGTTGCACCTTGCACCTCTCCAAATCCCCTTCCCCAATTGAAAATCCCACTCTTCCCATGAGAACTGAACTTCAGCACTAAAGCCGGAGATAGTAGAGGTGTAACATATTCGCTCTAGAATCTAGCTACACTTGAATATGATTACCAATGAAATTGAATAGGGGAAATGAACAAAAGAAGGTGATAAACCTAAAGAGTAATATATACAGATTTCACTAATAATTATGTACATACAAAGGATATTTACATCGCCTTTTCTGTACAGAAGCCACTATATACTACTAGTATATACGAGTATCCTTATATTCACAGTGAGGAAGGCTTGTTTAGCCTACTTACCTACAACCTGGAGCTATTTACACTGCCCTGATCTTATACATAGGGAGATGTATATGTATCATTAAGTACAACTTTTTTCTTTTACCCTGCCTATCTGCATATTATGTACTTCCCTATCTGCTATATTTTCTTATCAGAAACGCTTGCTGCACATTCCTGTACTTCAATTGCTGCACAAGACTATACAGTTTTATTACAGTACCTGTTGTTTCGCTTTAAGGTCTGTAAACTCGGGCATTTAAAAAGATTCCCGAAGAGGAAACTCATCGTAGTTTCCTGAGCTGGTTTAGGAGTGTGAAATGAATTGTGTTTTATCTGCAATATGGTTTGGCCGATTTGCTGTTGGATAGAATTGACCGTCCCTGGATCCACCGGAGCTCCTGCTACATCTGTTACATAGAAAGTGTCTACGGCTTTGCCACTCTTTGTGGATATTTCAGCTCTTTGGATGGTTAGCCCGTTTTCCCTAAAAATGCGGGTTATCTCTGAAAGGAGTCCAACTCGGTCTTCAGTGCGCAATTCTAACTCTAAGCCCTGAGGATCATATATAGGACTTGATGTTAGCTGATGATAAAGCATGAAGCAAGTATGAGTTATGATCAACTACAGCAGGACAAAGATTCAGAATCTTTCAGAGTTTAGTATACCTCTGATGCTCTCCTTTCTATGGCTGCTTCAAGGCACTGAACAACTCGTTCTCGCTCAGCTTCAGATCTTATGGGCTGCCCATCAACGTGTCGAATGTAGAATTCCTATAATAAAATGTTCAGTCAAATACACAGAACAAATTCAAGAGTCTACATACAGTAACAAAGAAACCATGAGCTAGCAAATTGGGTGTGTAATGTGATTCAAAAAGAGTAGCAGAGTATTCTGAACTCTGAAGGCAGATGTGCACAGTATATTGCGAAAAGGTCTCACAAGACTATACTCCCTACTCCCTAGTTAATTTGATTATTGGAAGCTGTGTTACCTGGTAAGCCTCTGTCCTCTCAGTGGTGACCATTCCATGAAAAACCACATACTGCATATCAGTTAGTGTACACACGATGTCAAACAGCAACTTAGGCCGATCCTTGGACCTCATAATAATCACAGTATAATCCTTCTCAGGACAATCAGAAACTGTCACATGAGGTCTACTATACGTATGCAAACTTCTAGGGTACCCTACTGTCTCCATTCTTTCATAGTCCCTATCATTAAACATGATTTGATGCAGTCTTCGTCCTCTGTGAGTACTTTCAGGAGGCGAAAGTCTCATTTGTGCCGCCTGAGAATCACTATCTCCTTTAAGCACATAGCAAAGAAGCTTCTTTATTCTGAGTAGCCTTTTTGGATCATTGACTGCACGCCCCGTTGAATAATCAGTTACGTGGACAACAGCTGCAGCTCGAGAATTGTGAGTCCATATCTCAGCATTCACCACATTGCAGTTGAGATCAGTGAGGACTGCACATACTTCTGATAATAAGCCTGGTCTGTCAGTCCCAGTCAGCTCAATTGAGGTGTGGTCTTCAGAGGGCATCACTCCAACTGAATCTCTTAGAGAAGGCAAAAGTGAGGCATTGCTCTCGATTGTCTGAACATTTACAGGGAAAACAACAACAGCAACATGAGGTTAAGCACTAAGCACACATTGATTAAACAAATTCTGAACATATACAGGACAAGCAGATCATTTTTTATCAGAATAGAGTTTCCATTTTATTACACACACTTTACATAGATGTTTGTCATGTTTCCAGTATTGGTTCAAAATTGTTGACTCCAAACCCGAAAATTGGTTTTCACAAACAGCAAAAATGAAGATCCACAGTCACACAAACAAGTAGTTCAGCTCAATTTGAGAACCAAATCAACCAATGACATCAACTATACTAGGACTTGTTCGTTATTGTTGCTAGTTTCAAGTTTTTTGTTGTCAAAGTTGAGACTTATAATTTCATTACACAACTTAATATTTCATATATCATACTGTATATCATAATGATACAGCTTTTGAAATCTCAAAAACCCAAAAAACAGAATTTGACAGATAACCAGTGAAACCGAACAGGCCCTAACTAAACGATAAGTAAGCAGTATGAACCTTTTGGATATAGTTGATGACTTCTTGATCTCTAATCTTGTTCCCATGGTAATCGGTCACGTTGAACACTGAAAGAAAGATTAAAAAAACAGCAATCAGAAGCTGATATCAGAAACAAAGACAGGGTTGACATTGTACAAAACTTCTAGATATTATATGCATAAAAGAACATTCATAATGACATGGTATAAGAAAGCTAAGAACATACCATCCATAAACCATCCGCCGTCAGACGAAATATATGCCTTTTTAATAGTAAGGTTAACATCAGCAAGAACTTGGACAACTTGTAGAAGAGTTCCATGTTTGTTGACACTGTCAACCTGAACAACATCATTCTACATTTTAGTCATACTTCATCATCAATTTAGTCATACAAATACATCATATTCTCATTAATTTAAATTTAATACAAGTATATACTTTGCAGCCTAACTTCAAAATTGTACCTATGTATTACTTCCTTGTTCTTTTTTACTTGACCTGTTTCTTTTATCACGCTTACCAATGTAAAACTTTAACGATCAATAACTTAAATTCTCCATAAGTAAAAATTATAAAAGTTATATATTATGATAGTACTTATTGAGACGAATCTAAAAAATCATACATGAATATATTTTTCCTTACATATTATTCATAAAAGACGGTCAAAAGAAGGGTGGTGAATAGTGTAAAAGTCAAAGCGGGTCAAGTAATAAAGAACGGAGGAAGTACATATTTATTTAAATGTACATCATTCAACAATTTTGTCCCCTAATAATCAAATAATATCATGACGTGACATGTTTAGAATAAAAGAAGCATTAAGCATGTATAAAAGGTAACAAAAAATTATTCCACCCTTTCCTAGTGTGATGAAACATGGCTTTTTTTATTTAATGGCCGGTTTACGTATCGTACCCTAAAAACATGTCCCTTCAAGAATTTTACCTAACAAATAACTCCGTGGTACGTACGGAACAAGGGTTAAGGGTTACCTGTGTAGCATGGACACGACTCGAGTTTTAATCTAGAGTCCTTCTGTACTTCCTAGAGGATTAGTACATAAGTACAAATGGGACTAGAACTAATCACTACACCACTACACTTCTAAATTGATTTTGGCACTCCCTTTAAACACACTCGACATAAAAAAAGTTGTGTATCGACTAGCTAGTAATGTAATGAAAAGTATCAGAGTGTCAAAATCAATTAATTGAGGTAACAAAAACGCAATTTATTAATAGTGTCAAAACATACTCTTGTTAAAATGATAACCTACCTAATTTACCCAAATAAGTCGATAATAAATAAATAGATATACAAGAAAAACAGAGGAAAAGAAATCAGGAACCGTAAAAAATACCTGAATTACAGTAGCTTCTTCACAAGATATATTGTCAAATACAACTCTGAAAGAATTAAGAAATAAGAAACTAATCATCAAAAATTAAAAAATAAAAAAACAAATTTCCTCTGTTTTTTTTTTAAATCCGGTTTAATCACCTACCAAAACTCCTAATCACGAATTTACAGAAGTATAATCACAAAATTAAGTAATTATTAGCTAATAATCCAACTTCGATTGAAATTAATAATAAAAAGGAATTCAAATAAAAATGGAAAGAAATTACCTTGGTGGGTTTAACCTCCTAATCAATTTAGCATATTCATCGTCCATCACCCTCAACAAATCAAACCCAAGATGAAAACTTTATAACAACCCAGAAAAATTAAGCTTTAATTAAGAATTATGAAATTCATAAAATAGATTAAAATCTCCAATATTTGTGGAAGTAGTAGTAGAGTAAACAGAGGAGAGTAAAGATTGAAGAGAGAGAAAGAAAAAATTAGGAGAGAGAATGTAGTTAAATTGGGGGAAACGTAGGCAGCCGTCTTACTACTATTTATTTACGGTCAGTTTATCCATTTGCCCGAGAATTTTCTAATGCTTGATTTGGCTGCCCGTTTTGGTGACGTGGAGAGTTTTGATTGGAGGAAAGGACGGTTATCGGCTGCCCGCGGTCAAAGGAGAGATAAAATGGGCCATAGGAGGCGGTTTGGGGGCCCGAATAGTGAGTAGATTACCGGCCCATCGCTTTTGATCCGTACGGTACGTGATAAGATTTGCAGAGTAGGCACGGAGTTTAAGGAAGTCACGTGAGGAATGGTCGGGTAATTGCCGGTATTGTTGGCGGCAATTCTTGTGTGAGCTACTGGTTTTTTGACACGTTGGTGGTCGTTAGCTCAACTACCTTGCCTCTTGCTCCCTCCTTCCTTCTTTCAAATTATTTTTACCAGTAGTTAGTTAGTGTTATGTGAGTCCTGTGACTTGTGGGTAGATCAGGTTATTGAGTAGTGTAGTTTAAAGATTATAGGAATAGAGTATGGTTAGGGTTAGAGTCATGGTCAAGTTTAAAGGGTTTTTAATGGACATGATTCTTATTTAATAAGGTCGCTATTAATCCCTAATCAGAGTTAGCCCTGCCCGCTATTGGTCCTGTAAAATGTAATCTTTTACCTAACTGCAATCGTTCCACACTGATCTTAACCCGCCTAATAATTAATCAGATCTACTTGTGAGTACTGGCTTATCACTGCTATTACACGATATAGTTTTATTTTATAATAAAATCAATCTTGCAACAGTAGTTGTGAGAATCTTTGTTACTTAGTAGAAACTGTTGAATAAATTTTTTATCTTCATTTTGATTTTGGAAAGATCAACACTCCTTTTTTTTTTTTTTTTTGGGAGATCAACCAGGCGCATAGTGGATATGAATATTGTGTGTTCACTGATCACCACTTGTATTGTTCAATTTATTGATCATTTGATGTTTCGACGCAATATATATTCTTTCCTCTCCCTCTCTATAAGTCTAACTTGCAAAATACAACTGAAATCAGTATGGTTCTAGAATGACAACTGTGAAATTATTAATGTCATTTCAAAATTCACCCATATTGTCTAAATGAAACAATAATAAATAAAAATAATTGTCCTTTTAGAGCAAATGTTTTGTATAATTCCAAGGGACTAACAATATAAGGATATGTTTTAATCACTTTATCCTTATTACTCTATAAAATCACTTTAGTTGTAATTTAGGGTCTGTTCATATTTACTTAATTTTAATTCAGTTCAGTTCAGCTCAGCTCTAATCAGTTCAGTTCAGTTCAGCTCCAATTAGTTCAGTTCAGTTCAGCTCCTAATTTCCCTCTCTCATAAAATATTCATTTCAACTCAGTTCAGTTCAATTCAGTTCAGTTTAACTCCAATCAGTTCAGTTCATTTCAGCTCTAATCGGTTCATTTCAGCTCAGTTTGGTAAATATGAACAGACCCTTAAACTTAAATAACCCCTTATCTTTTTTGACAAAATAACCCCTTATCAAAACTTATGTTATTTGAACTAAAAATTAAACTAAGTGAAAATAAGGTAAATATAATGAATTTTAAACAACATTAATCAATGTTTGCTTTTGTCACAATATTCTAATGTTGCTTCTATCATGACTTTTTTTTTTTTTTTTTTTGGGGGGGGGGCATAATTTCATGACCAAAATGTAATCATATTCAAATTGTTTGTGCTCAAATTATTATGGCGCCACTTGGCTCCTATTCATGACAAAGAATGAAACAAGTATTCTAAAACTTACAATGGACTCCAATCTCCATATCAATACATCTACAATAATAGTTCCCATTAGATTATACATTTGCTCATTCGGGTCATGTTCTAGTTGCTCTGTTGATTCAATCTGCTTTTTTGACATTTATTCTGCTCTGCTCTACCTTGTCCATAAACTCAAAAGAACGAGACCTAACACATTAAGTTTTTTTTTTGTTTTTTTTTTTTTTTTTTTTGTTTTTTTTTTTTCTTTCAACTCATTAAGCTAAGGCAATTAGTTTCATTAATTTATGGGACATTATCTTACCAGAAACACTCTTTCTAATAATTCTTGTATGATCTAACTTCTCAAGACTCTTAATTAACCTTGGAGAATCAAGTTGGGGCAAATTTTGGCGGATAACTTTAAGACGTAAATTCGTACCCTTTAGCATTTTGAGGAGCCAATTTCTTGAAAAAAAAGCTCTTTTCCGAGTTGTATGTAATAATTTGTCAGCCAAGACAAAGTTTAATGTCTACTAGTTGTGTTTGACAATTTTGATTCCTATAAAAAGTGATATTCTGGATTCTAAAGTACAAATGTGTGGTCACGTTTAAAATCTGTTGATCAAGACTAGTATTATTAGAAGATTTCTCCGAATTCTTCCCTATAGAAAAACCATATATGGAATTAACAAATCAATATAACGAATACGTAAAGGCATGAAAGTATAATTTTTTTTAAGAAAAGATCGGGATAGGCATCATTGGCGGACCTGGCCTTGTACATGGTGAGTCAAATGACTCACCAGGGCCCAAAAAAAATTTCTAAGTTTTTTTTAAAAAAATAAATAAATAAATAAATTATTTTCTTTGGTTGATTTTGTTGCTGTTTGTTTGGTAAACTTTGAACCTTTTGTTAATGTTGTTGGGTTTTTGATGAAATTTAAACCTTTTGACCATGTGAATTGTAGTCAGTGTTTATTTAGGGTGTTTATTGATGCCAATTATGTCTGTCAAATTGTCAATACACCATTGGTTTTGGTAGATTTATATGGGGTTTTTTGCATATGTGCTGATTTGATTGGCGATTCGGACGATTGTTTATGATATAGTCGACCCACCCTAATGATATAGTCAATTATGTCTGTCAAATTGTCAATACACCCTAATGCTTGTACAGATTTTAATCTTGTCAATTATTAGAGAGCTAAGCTTGCCATGTTGTCAACAAATTTTTTACATATTTGGTTATCGATTGTGACTCACCAGTCGGAAATTCCTGGGTCCGCCACTGATAGGCATAGTATAAGCCTTTGTCATGGAGGATTGAAGGTGGTACTTAAAACATGACCAGATATATTATTGTTTATATTACGAAGTATCATTTGTCTTTTATGTTTTTTGACTTTTATCGACAATTAAAAAGAAAAAGTTATATTAAAGAAAATTACTTGTTATTAATGGGAATTAATAAAAGATTGACCGTAATTTAGAAATTGGGTGTTTTGCTAGCATTATTTAGGGAAAGGGCTCAAGGAATTAGGGGATCTAATTACCTAATGAAAAGGGAATCGAAAGTACCAGTGAAAGATTTAGGCCTTGTTTGGCAAATGACGGTTGGCGATTGGCTGTTGGCTTGTTTGACCAGTTGGAATGTTTGGCTGTTTATAATGGCTTTTGAAATTGGATGTTTAAGCTGGTTGTTTATAAAAGTGTTTGGTAAATTAATTGTTGGTTGTTGGCTGTTTATTAGATAATTTGTGGGCCAACAAGTCAAAAGCCAACAAAAAAACTACTCAAAGCAGCCTTTTCATTTTGGCTTAAAAGCCAGCTTTTTCGCTGACTAAAAAGCCAATTACCAAACATATTTTTTGGCTGTTTGACCACCTTAAAAAGCCAAAAGCTAACCAAAAAGCCATTAAAAAGTCAATTATCAAACATGGCCTTAATGCAAAGAAGTTGGCTAGTTAATTACATTTCACATCTAATTACCTAGTTAACCAAACATTTTGTGTTGAATCCTCAACTACTATTTGTCTATTTCCCCATATCAATATAATATTTGTACTCCGTAGTGTTTTTGTTTAAGTTATTGATTTTTTTTTTTTTTTTTTTTTTTGGTTGACGAGAGTTATTGATTTTAACTAGAAGCCTTAGCTTGATTGGAAATCTTAATTTTTTTCGTTTGGTGTTTAATAAATAACCTAATAATGCACCTTGATGTATTTTATATGAAGACTTAGCTTAATTAGAAGACTTAGCTTAATGTGTATAATTTGCTAGTATACAATGGAATAACTAACTTCTTATAATTAAAAAGGAATATGGTCACTTTATAAATCTTGCCGAGCTAACTTATTGGCACTAACAAACAAATGTTTGAGATATTTATTAGACAATACGGAGTAATTTCTACGTAAATATTAGGATATTGAAAGTTGGACGTCAGAAGAAAATTCAAATTTGAGACAGATTCCTGTTCTGAAATTTTGGAATATTAATCCAATTAAAACAGCTAATTATTTGGCATATTATTATCTTTATCCTTTTATTAAAAAGTGATTCACAAGCCATCTACGTAGAAAATACCGGCACTGCCATCTGGAAATTATATTAATTGCATTATCTACTAAAAAAATAAATAAATATTGTTTTGGTCTTTGAAATAGATGGTTGACAATTATTTCCCTAAATAATGAATTTTATTTGTAAATTTTCACTGATTAAACATTGATTAAAAAATTTCCAATTTGTCAGCATTTGTGGGAATATTATGAGTAAAGTTATATTCCAACAAGTTTTGAATTAAGATATGAAGAGAGCCGTAAAGGATAGTGATATAAAATTTTTGTCTATCTTTTAAAATTGAATTTGATTAAATCAGACACACGAGAGAATCTAAAATAAATAATGGTCCCAATTTTCACAAGTTTGCCGTAATCCCACTTCCACATACTGAGGGATTCTAAGGTAAGATCAGAAAGTGATTCAATAATACCTAGCTTAGTTTTATAAAAAGATGTTAGAATCAAGTGCTGATAAGCCAATTTGCTACAAAATGGAATAAAATCGATAAGAATCAATCTTTTTGTAGTTTTTAGTGCAAAATCCAGTTAAAACAAGTTGTATACAGTATCTTGCATATGGCAAAATATGTGGCACCAAAAGGTCAAGGCTAGAATCCATATCCTAATCCCATTGTAGATTGTCACCGATATCATCACCATATATCTATAATCTATCCATAATAATTACATAATAAAAAAACACT